ATTTTTCCCCGACCTTGAAGAATTTTTTCCTTGACTATTTCCATACCTGTGGCAACCCTGTTACGGTGCAAAAAAAATTGTTCTTATATTCATGAGATCATAAGCTCAGTACACACTGTTCCTGGAGAAAGTTTAGGAGAATAAAACCAAACCAACAGTAATCTAAAGAAGGGTTACTCTTGTCTTCTAGACTATGTTTTGGGTGCGTGGAGATTGGCTTGAACTTCCGAGGTCAGATATTACACTTCAAGACAAACTTGGGGAAGGCGCGTTTGGCGAAGCTTATAAAGGTTTGGTGCGGGTCAATGGACAATGGCGACAATGCGCAGTGAAAAAGCTCAAAGGTAATTGTATTAGTTGATTCCACCTTACACCTTAGTTGAGATGGGCTCTAACTGGGTGGAGAAAGAGTGGCAGACCAAAAACCACCTGGCAGGAGACAGTGATGAAGGAGCTGGAAGTGATGGGTCTCTAATAGGATGTGGCGCACGCCAAGGCACGGCACAGGGTATAGTGGCGGGTTATGGTTGCGGCCTTATGTCTCAGCCAGGGCGAGGAGGATAAGTAAGTTATTTAATTTGGGGATGGTCAAAGAAACCTTTCAAAGTCAAGCTTAATGCCTAATCTGGTCACAGATTGCAGCGAAGTAACTGAGAAGCCAAATAATTGCAGCACATAAAAATACTGAATGATATTTGGCTAATTTCCCCGGCTTGGTGGCTAAAAAGACGTCAGAGTGCTTAATCCATTTAAAGAGTCCGGACCCACTAGTACTTATTCAATGTCTATGTTTTATATAAATCAGCAAAATCAATTTATAATTGCATTCACACGCGGAGTACGTGCAAATGTAATAGGGGGTTTTTGCGTTTCCATTCCTGAAGATCGATATAACATTACTGCGACACGAGGAAAAGATCGACCTTCTCGTTTAGTTGATGTCCCTTAAATCGATCGGTGATGTTCAAATACATAACTTGTGTATAGATATTAAATGCAGTGATAATCTGCTAGAAGTGATGTAAAGTATTTTAAACTGTGGTTATGTTTTTTTAATAATTGCAGAAAGTGCCACAGAGATGGAGAAGCGAGACCTTATGAACGAGCTTCAAATCATGGTCACTGTTGGAGAACATCCTAACGTCATAAGTCTTATTGGAGCTTGTACAAGGAGCGGTAAGTTTAGTGAACTAAATTCTTCATTTAAGGCTCATTTATGATGATGCCTGATCTTCGAAGTTCTTAGTTTTTACAACGATTCTTGATTTTTTCAACATCTTAGATTCTCCTCTCAGCATCATAGTTCAAGTCAGTAAACATAGTTTTTTGTCAGTGTTTTCGCAGGTTGAACTTGTTATCACTCATTTGTTATCTCGCGAGAACGAGGATGGACTGTGCTTATATGACAGACTTTCAAGCGATACAATTCGTGAACCGACCCGTTCCGAAAAAGATTGACATCTTTGTATACGTGAGATGAACGTATAAGGCCCGATTCTTTCCAAAACTTTGTTCACAAAACTCCGCATTCTGCGTATTACGACGTTCACGAAGAGCGAACACACGATAAAGAAAGTTGTGGCAGTTTCCATGCTCTACGCCAGAAACGCGTGGAACCATGAACCCCTTTTGGCGACCAAGACTTTGAAAGTCTTGCATTTTATGACTCAGGCTTTGCTACGGAAGCCCGAGTAATGATTCCTAGGTTCTGCAACTTATATCGGGACGGATAAAACTGAAAACCACAGCTAGTTTTTAATTGCACTAATACGTGAGACGCATTTCATCTTTGAAATCTTGACCAGGTTCAATACTAGTTGTGGTGCGTCTGGCGGTGAATGGTAGCTTACTTCAGTTCTTGACGAAAAACCGAGAAAATCCTTATAACAACGTTGAGCAAAAGCAAGTTCCCTTTACACATATAGACAGAGTAAAGATTGCAAGAGACATTGCCAATGGGATGTTACACCTTGCCACCAAAAAGGTACATAAGCTATCATAAAAGCTAAGTTAATGCAAAATATAAAGAATTATTTTACCTAAGAACGTCATCAAACATTACCACATAAAGAGATTTAAAATGAATTTGACGCTGTTTTGATACTGTGATCCTTAGTGAATTTCTGAACCTCATGTAGCAATAGTTCTGCCAGTTCAAAGAGCTCCAGCTGCTTTTACTCCTACACCATCTCCTTCAACTGGAGCTGTTTCTCGTTGCCATGCTTCTAAGTTTACAAACATTAGTTAACCTGTACCAGAAAAAGTGGCCAGTATTTTTATAAGTTAACTCCTTCACAGATATTGAAGATAAAACAATAAATTTGTTTGATGGGTTAATAAATAACACAAGAAGAAAAAGATGATCAAATTATCCCTTATTTACAACGCAACGTCGAAGTTAAGTTGTTGAAATTACGTCCTTCTGATTGGTTAAGGTTGTATGAAACGTTCTGCAAATTTCCTGGATCAAGAGAAATTGTTTACATCAGAAAAGAGTTCAACTTCCAGCGGATTGGTTTGGTACATCAATATGGACGCCGTGACGTCAAGTGAAAACGCTCTATGGGCAAACGTTGGCTTTGTTTGAATGTACATTGAGATCTAGGATTCAGAAATGTTTGCTTAGTACTAGTTGTTATTGGAACTCTAAGAAGGGCTATTGTTTTCTCTGTGGTTGTAGTGTATTCATCGCGATCTTGCAGCTCGGAACATACTCCTTGGCGAGGACAATGTTGCCATGGTTTCTGACTTCGGTTTGTCGCGTGACGTGTACGAAAGTGGTGAATACGAAAGCACAAGCGGGGTAGGCAAAAGAACCGCTTACGATTAGTTTCAATTGTTTCTTTAAAATTCTTGCTCTTTGGATTCTATCTCTTAATTCACTATAGATTCTGCCTTTGTCTTCTCATTTTTTGACCCCTTTTTTCTTGTCTTCGTACAGGGAATGTTGCCAGTTCGATGGATGGCCCTCGAGTCCTTGGAAGATTATACATACAGTGCTAAGACAGACGTGTAAGTTTGCGCTTTGGAAAATCATACATTGCATCACTAAAATGAACAACTGCTGACCAAGGCCCCGTCGACACTACGCCGGAGGGATTTGAAAACGGAGGTTTCACTCTGAAAACGCATCAAATGTTTTCCGTCCACACCCAATCACCGTCATTTTGGATTTGTGTTTGAGGAAAACTTGCGTAAGGAAATGCGGACGCTGCCTGAGCCCCGTCCACACTACCCCGGAGAAAATTGAGAAGCAATTTAGGTTAGGCTTACCGTCACGAAAACAGAGCTTTTCGAAAACGCTCTTCAAATCGGAAGAATTTGACAACGCCGGCGTTTCGTTTTCGCGTGGACAGAAAACATGTTGATGACGGAGCAACGATGACGTCACGATAATCACGTGATTTCCCTGACCGGGTTTTCCTCAAACACAAATCCAAAATGACTGGTTATTGTTGCGTTTTCAAATTTCTCCGGCGTAGTGTGGACGGAAAACATTTGATGCGTTTTCAGAACGCAAAAGCCGTTTTCAAATTCCAAAAGCAAAGTTACAATGGGCATTATTAATGCTGCTAAAAATTTGGAATTTTGGCACTCGCTGAAAACTTTTCTACAGATTCACAAAAGCTTAAACAAGTCTTTCGCAGTTAAATATCTCAATCTTTTGCAATCTTTATGACGTGGATCAAAGCAATTTGCATTTCCCTTAGCAATGACAGAAACAACAACAACAAAACAATATCGTCTTTGTTTACCTTTTGAAAATAGTCACATTGGAAGGCTATGAAAGTGTCGGCCTATGGGTTGACAGTCCTAAAATCTTGTCCAACAGCAGGACTAAAAACTGAAAACGACATGAATTTATATACCGGAAACTTACTCACGCTTTTGCCTTGTGAGCAACGATTTAGAAATTTTGAATTTCGCATTATGATCTGATGTGGTTTCCTGGTTCAACTCAAGAAGCGTGCTCAAACAATCTTATACACAGCTAGTCAACTGATGTTTCGCAAATACTGGTACGTAACAAAGGCCAAGACTAAATTTCCTCGTTATGTCAACCTGAAGCGTCCGTGTTCGTAATTTTCGTGTAAATGCACAACAAAAGCGACTAAAATGGGCATAAAATTAGGCCGTAAAATGTTTACGGGAAGATCTGAAAATTTCTTTAAGAAAATCGATTTAAGTTTAGTCTATTCATTAAAGTTACCTTATTTCTGGAAGAGCCTTGTGAATTCCTGCATGGTCTTCAACACAAGTAGTCTGTGGTAAACATTTGCGACGACATAATCGATAAACCGGCATCTTCCCATGAGAAATTTTCTTCGAAAGCCTCTCTTTACCTTTCCATCCGCTGAGGTATTGACAGTTTCTGTCATCCTTTCAATCTTCTGTGAAGTGAACAGTCCACTTCTAAGCTGAATTCCCTGTTTCAACGCATGAGAAAGACTGCGAACTCGTTGTCGGCGGAGCGTCGACAAATTCTTTGGTCCTTTTCACCTGTGTGAAAATACAACATCCAGCTTTACAAATAATTCGGATCTCTCGAGGGCAGGCAGGTTTGTTTTAGAATTATATGACGTTCAGAAGAGAATATCATTAGGAGAAGAAGAACATTCTGGTTCGCTCGCCACCTCGACGGCAACGACAACGAAAAATATGGAAAATAATAGCTGTGCACGTGCGTTGTAAGTATTATTACTTTTCATAGCCGTCCTCTGCAAAACAACAACGTGAAATGACCAAATTCTGCGTATTTTGAAGAACGTTTGCCGCGACGGCATTTTTTTCGTATTTCCTTTTGGAATTGATCGCTGGCATTACATATGGAGCTTGAGCAAGTTTTCAGACCGATTGGCATATTGATAGTCAGATAGTTAAATTACAAAATTCGAAAGTAAAATAAAGATTCATTTCTTATTAGGCGCCCCCCAGTGGGGGTTGGGGGGAGATACTTCCGTAAATTTCTGGTAGGTGTGTGGCGCGAAGTGTCTTAAACCCTGACCCTATTCAAGGATGAAGCAAATGAAAAACGCACCTTATTTTAGACCCACACCCGAGGAATGACACCCTATTCAAGGGAAAAACAAAAACTAAGAAAAGCATGAATGGTTGAACTTTATTTCGTTTCTGTAACATTGGAAGGTTACGAACAGTTCAGTTTTAAACAGATCAAATGTTTTCCATTCAGCTGGGCATTTACACACTGCAATTTTAGCTGATACAATTTAGGTACCCTATCTAAGGATCACACCGGGAACACAATGCTAACAGCGGCAAAAATGATACCCTTGGCTATTTAAGGATCGATAACCTCAAAAACCCTACTCTATCACGCGGCACATACCTATATAGTACATATAAGGAAGTACTCCCGGGTAGACGTCGTCCATGGCGTTGTCATCGTCATTGCTTAAAGGAGCTACGTCACGGTTTCGCATATTGAAAAGTTTAACCTCAATTTTTCAAATTCGTCGTTTGTAATCCGTGTTAATCTTCTCCATCCTTAGCCATCCTTATTCCTTTGTGTTTTATCATTATGTCTTTGGTGTTTTTCTATCTTATTAAACTGTTATTTTCAAGTTTCCTACCATTTAAAGTAATTTTGTATGTGGCCAAAATAACTCAAAATACAGTGACTGAGCTCCCTAATAATAGACCATTTTACAGTTGTCTGCTCAGTGACCTGGCCTTTAAATGGCACCGAGGCTGGAGTTGACCTTGTTTTGATACAGACCTCACTGTTTTTGTTGTGTAAATCAACTCGTTCTTATGCTAACTAGTTGGCATTTGCATGAGAAAAGCAGAGAGGTCTGTATCAAGGCAAGGTCATCTCCAGCCTTGATTGCAGTCATAGGCCAGGTAACTAAGCACACAACTGTAAAATGGCCTACTGACACCGCGCGCCGCTTTTTTCTATACAAATCATGTGACTAGATGCAGGCGCTTTGATTGCAAAGACGTTTAGATCAAACCTGAAACATAGCGCAGTTCATAATGCACTATGCAAATAAACAACAATTGTAAATAGAATTTTATACTAGTTTGGTGTATTTTGTTATTATATAACTTTTTTAGGTATAGTTAGGAATTTTTATAGTTTAAATTTTTTAAACATGTAGTATATAACACAAGTAATTCAGCTTATAGCTGCAAGTTGTGAGTTTAATAAACGATTTATCTCAAACATAATTCACTTGATTTAGAAACTGAATTTATAAATCACTAACGTGATGACGCGCTGAAGAAAATTAATGAAGTACTGTTATTGCGTTTTCTTTTCAGATGGTCATTTGGTGTTGTGTTATGGGAGATAGAAACTCTAGGTAAGCGCAACGAATCATTTTTGTTAGAAATCTTTTGAATAATCAACAACGTTTGATCTGAAATAGCCTGGTCAAAAGTTCTTACTATCTCTGTGAGTGACGGACTGAAATTCAAAGTAGTGACATTTCTGCTTTTCTGTACATTCCTCAGCACTTTTGATTTAAAGCTTGTTGCCGAAAAAATCTGCAGTGAGTTTATATTGTATTAAACAGGGTTAGGTAGCAGCTCTCGTAAGGTCTCACATGAATGGTTTGATACCCTTTGAGAGAACAAAGAACAAAGAACAGAAACAACGCCCCTATCCCTAAAACAATAACAACTGCCAACAAACAAAACAATTACAAGCTTACGAGAGCTGCTACAATTAATTATGATTAAAAGTGATGGAAGCAAAAAAGTTCAAAGTTCAAAGTTTAGAGTCGAACACTACAGACATCCATCCCCATGTCCTGTTTCTAATTGGTTGTTTGAAAAACTGGATGAGGTTTATCAAGTGGAAAGTGTATATCCAGGGGGGTAGGGTAGGGGGAGGAGGGGGGGAAAGCCGATCATTATGCCTACTTAAAAATACATTTTTCGCAATGAATCAGTTTGTTTTCTGTTCAGGTAAAATGCCGTATTCTGGTCTTGGAGGAATGGAGGTTGTTGACTTTCTTAAGTCAGGACATAGACTAAAACAACCAGATGGATGCCCAGACAAAATGTAAATATATAATTACCTAATTAGAATGCGATGTAATGTATTTCTCACGAAGATTTTGTTAAATGGCACTTGCCGAGAGTTCGACGAGATATTATGGTATTCGGGCGAGCTCCATTAAATACCCCAAACAGCGTGTCCAGGTTCCCAGTTGAAATTAGTACAATAAATGCGAGCGCAATAAATGATTTACACTACTCGTGATATTTGAAAACTTTCTCAAAATTGCACGAGTCTTCAGAATTGTCAAATATCACGAGTAGTGCAAATCCTTATTTGCTCTTTCATACAGTTGTTATATGACTGAGAAAATTGCGGACGCACGCGCGTTAATTTGCACTGCAGTGCAAATTAAAAATTAACGATAAATGAATGAGTTGCCAGTAATCGGATACCCGTGTTTGCGCGAAGAACTATGGGATCGTCAGGGGGCAAACATTGCTAGTCGCTAGAAGGAAATGTATGGCGAAAAGTTGTTTCGAGGTACAAGAAAACGATTTTTGAGAGAGATCAACACTTTTTCGCCGTCGTTTTTATCGCGAATGGATTTGGGCAATGTTGATATGTGGAATATGTAAGTTTTTGTTTGAATAACCGTGAAATATGTGATAAAA